TGTGCTATGTATATCGTGTTCAGTTCGAAGACTGTTTTGACCCGTCGTTTACCGCTCAGTTTGTGCACAAGTCTTACCGTAGCTTGTGGACCCGTTAGCCCAAAGTAAATCATTCCGCCCGCGTTTTTGTGTTCGCTGTGGCCCCCTGTGTGGATTTCCAGAATAACAACTCAATTGTAAGGATCGGATCCCATCATACTCAAATCGTACTTCAGAGTCGCGAATCGGTGGGCAAAAGACTTCTCTGAGTCTACCTATTGACACACATTTCGGGCGCAACATCAAGATCAATGCTGCTGGCCGCAAGTCGCTACTGTCCTTGTCGGCGCCGCGTCCGCACCCGGTGAATCGCACAAGAAATCGGGTTTTCCCAACTAAACCACCGTGATGTCATCATACGTACGTAATTCAAACTCCGCTATTTCAGACTCCGCGACACCCTTTAAAAGGCTTCTCACATCGCGTCGCTCTTTCTTCACTCCCCCCATCTCGGGAGCCGCCCCGACTGTCCTTATCCACCTCGTCTACTGTATCTCCAATCCCATAATGCCACGTCTCTCCAAACCCCGCCTCACTGATGCTGAATCTTACGCCGATGTACTGGCTGAAGCCGACGACGCGACGCGAGCAGCCCTGACCGTCTCTCTCGAGGATACTTTCCATTTCAAGAAACTAGTAAAGCCCACCCTCGAAGGACACGAACGCACCAAGAGGCTCTTTTCCTTGTTCCGGGAGACTCATCCACTAGGCCATACGTTACCCGTGGAAATCGTCCCAGGCGTGAAACTTCCCTCCACCGGCGCGTTTCACTCTTAGTGTCGCATTGGTTTTACTCATATTTAACAGGATTTTTCAAAGAGTTTGTTCGATGGCTCGGAGTGACGCTCCGCGGCCGTCTCCATCGACTCGTTGTGAAATCTACTGTCGAAAGTTACATCTACAAGTTCTACGCGCTCTGGCGGCAATATGCCTTCATTCCCGTTCCCCGCGAGCACCGCATTCACGTCATGGCCTATTTCAACTCAGAAGAATTCGACAAGACGTCCAAACTGCCCACCGATTCGCGTCTCAAAGAGACCGCCAACATCATCGACGTCGAGCTCCTCGTCAAAGGCGTCCTCGAGGACAAGAAATATTTCCGCACCAACCGCGCTCGCTTTGATACCAATTACTCTTCCCTCATCAGCTCCCTTTCGTCCGAACGCCCCGGAGCCATCATCGAGTCCAGCTCTTACCGCAACACCAACGAATCCCTGACCTACGGCGATCACGACGTTTGGGTCATCCCCAATCCCGATAACCCCCGCCGTCCCTTTGTGTGCTGCATCGTCCGTATCAACCTCCTTAAGGGCCATCGCGACGACGATGGATTCACCAAATACTTTTTCCTTCTTCCTGAGCCCGCCAGTCACCGCCATGTCGATGCATTGATGTATTTCTTTGTTAACTGTTTCAAGGACCAGGTGTTCGAGGACGTCGAGACGCCGGAGGAAGTCTTTTTCCCCAAGCACGACTGCACCCGCGCGCACAAGCTCCGCATCAAGAAGAGTGCACTTAGTCTCGCAGTTTGCCGCAAGGAGGTCTACAACGGTGACACTTGGGTGACGTCGGAGACTCTAGCAATGCCGTACTTCATGGTCGCCGGCTTCCTGCGCAAGATAAGCTTGTTCCTCGGGTTCGTTAGTGAGTGCACTTTTGCATCTGTTCCCGCGCCGAAGTGTTGACTTTTTCACAGTTTGGATCACTTTCTACTGCTTTCGCCGGTGCTCGGCTAACAACATGAACGCGGCCCTGCCGGAAGACGAACGGCGGCGGATGATGGGCCAAAACCCAGACTCGGAACAGTTCTTCGCACGTAGTATCCTCTATTTCAACCTCCACTGTACTAATTGCAATCCACGTTCAGCACGCGTACCAGTCCCGGCTCGCGTCGATTGATCTCGGCGCAATTCTTGCCGAGCGCCATGAGACAAACGAGGACAACATGAATACAATGAAGGTTCGTCCCCGCATCCCGACCACGTCTCGTATTGATTCTTTCAGACGGTCCACGGCATGTCCAAATCCCGCGACCCCAACGCTCCGATTTCCCTCGATGCCGCCGAGCTCAACGAACTGCATGCCGACCCCGAACTTGTCGAGTTCCGGGTAGCTAGGGTTAATGTTCGTGTTTTCCACCTCTTGCGCGCCTGACGACTAATGGATTCTCCAGTTATGCGCGCGGGTCAAGGAGGAGCTCACTAAACGCCTGAGCGTCGACAAGGACGACGATGTTGCCATCGCCGCGCAAAACGTGGTCATCAACGCGCTTCGCACTGAGATCCGCACCATCGACCGCAAGCACGCCGCGATCGTCACCCGGGAAACATACGCTCTCGTGGCCGCGAAGCGGAAGCAGTACTTCGATGAGGCGTCGTATAGAGTGCTTAATGACGTCGTGAGTGCTACGGCGCCAGTTTTGTACCAATTCTGATGCGATTTTCCTCAGCAACCGGAGCAGCGTGTTCCTCTTGCGGCCAAGAGCAAAAACGTCCCCGCGGCGCCTCCTCCTTCAGCGGCCGCTGCGCGCCCCGGCCAAGAGAACCTCGCTCCCGGAACTGTACCCCCTGCTCGCCGTGGCCGAGTGTCACTGCCGGCCGCCCCGGACCCGATGGCGGAGGCGCTCCAGGTTGTTTACAACTTCACGCCGGAGGACGACGGCCCGACCCACTTTGTCGCGTCCGTGAACGCTTTCCTCGGCTTGCCGGAGCGGGCCTTCAAGCACGGTTACCCCGGGGAAAGCCCGACCCACGACGACAAGTGCCCGGTCTGCGGCGCCGACGCTACGTAAAATTATTTCTTCCTCTTTGCCGCGTCACTGACCATGATTTATAGCCCCGCCAAGATGAACAAGAGTAGTAGGAACGTTGCGACCCACATCCACAAGTGTATTATGGGCAAGCTCAAGGCAACGTCGCAGCAACAAATCGACTCTGAATACAAACCCATGTCCTGCCTCTGGACCACTTGCGACGATGAGACGGAGTTCGCGACCCGGGCCGAGTTCTGCGAGCACGTCAATCGCCATCTCGCCAATCTCGAGTTCGCCTGTCAACAAGGACGACCCGGCGCTCAATGTAACTGGGAAACCGACGACCAAACCTGCGGCGAACGGAACTGCGGCGATCTCGAGACGCATTTCGCCCTCGTGCATGGGATCAATGTGCACGAGGAGATCGGTGTTGAGTATTGTCCGATGTGCGCCGAGTCGTACGTAGAGTTTATTTTTACCGCTGGTCGTTGTTGAAAATCTTGGCAGGTTCATCGATTTCGATGGTGACAGCGAGCTTTGGCGAGAACATTCCCTCGATCATTACTCCACGCTCTTCTCCCCCTTCACCACCCGCGTCGAGACAGCGGTTGATTTTTCGAAGCACGGTGTTCTTTTTACCGCCGCGGTCGATCACTGCATTCAGTTTGAGAACGGCGAGGGGTTCGGCGGTGAACGTCCTGAATTCCACGGCCATATTGATCATCAAGTGCCCCTCGCCCCCATGTTCTGCCCGTTTTGTGTCTATGATGATGTCTTGGACATGACCGTCCGCATGAGGCAGTCAGTGATCTTACTCGCATGTCTGTCTCCGCGCTGACCTCTTCGCATCTAGATTCTGCACCAACGAATCTTTTCGGTTGCATCTCACCGGGCACTACAACGAGGTTGTGCTCAATCCCGGTGCGCAGCGCGAATGCCCGGTTCCCTCGTGCGGTACCCATACCTTCGACGCTCTCGAACTTCTCACCCACATGGTCGTGTTCCATCGTGTGCCGATCTGCGGTTCCGACAAGCACACGAACTTTCGGCGGCTCCATCTCCCAAACGCCGACGATGTTCAACCCGTGATGGACACCGAGCCCGTCGACCTCGCGCACCTCAACCAGCAAGCGCCATCGGAGAGCGGTCCCATCCCGTCTGGTAGCACCGTTCCTGCGCCGGTCGTCAAGAAGAAACGCAGATATACGCAGGCGGTGAGATTTTCCGCATGCATAACCTTGTTTTATCTGACACATTCTCAGAATCCGTTCCAAGCCGTCGAGTGTCTGCACAAATGCGAGAAGCATCGGGCGCAGTTCCACGATATTCGCGAACACATCCCCGCCCACTGCAACGAGACCAAGTTCAAGATTCGGGATACCACGATGAAGCGCGGCAGGTTCGGCCCCTTCTACAACTTTGCCGAGTGGTCCCGGACGGCACCGCCGTTCGTGGTACGTTTTTCATGCTTCACCATGTTCTTTCACTCAGTATTTGCAGCCTTCTGGCGACGCTGCAGAGAACGATGATCAAGATGGAGAGGTACAGCGATTTTCTCTTTCCGCGCTCGCGTCCCCTCACGTAATTTAAAGCCGGAGACATCCGAACCGGGCCCGAGCAAGAAGCCGCGCGTCGAAGCCGAGGCGAGTTTATCTCTCTTTCGCGGGATCTCTCATTCATAGCCGTGCAGCTCTTCCAATTCAAATGCTCTGGCTGCAAGAAGGAGTTCAAGGACGTAGAGAAACACCTCGCCGCGATTCGGAAGAACACGTCCAAGTGCAAGAAAAATCGCTTCAGGGTGCGTCAGCAAGACGGGTCCTTTGGTTCCGAGACGACTTTGGCCTCGTATCGAGCTTCAATGGCACCGGTGATTTCTACTACTTAATTTGTATCTTTATCCCTCCTTTCCTTTTGCGACGCCTTTCCTTCGCTCCCTCTATCTACTCCCCTCGCGCCACCTCCGCTCTACCCATCCGCTTTCTGTAATTCTATCTCACTTTCGTTCCTTCTTCTACCTCCCGCGATACACCCCTTCTTCGCGCCGCACCCACTCACTGTATGATGTTTTATATTAACGACCACAATCTGTATCGATATCATACTTCCAATTAATATGTGTATGACTTTGAGCGAACCAATGTTTGATTGAGGGAAAGCTTGAGGGAAATGAATGGGAAAACAAGTTGAAGAAGCAGAGGGAGACAAAAAATGATCTGGCCCGGGATCGAACCGAGGACCGCCTGCGGGCACCGCGGTTGCAGAAACAAACGCACTGTGAAGCAGATGTGATAAACCAACTACACCACCAGACCAATGAAGGCAACGTTTAGCTTCGGCTGAGATGAGGTTGATCGTTCCCGGGCAAGTCCTTCAACTCGAGCCAGCGACACTGTGCTCCGCAGGCGGTCCTCGGTTCGAGCCCGGGTCGAATCAGTTTTGCGTCGGAGAAGGACGAAACACCCATTTTTCTGGTTCTTTCGCTTGAGCGATTAAAAAACATTTACCGAGTCCCAAATAACACTACAAACCTCTTCAAGCAAGCCCCCGGTCTTCACAGGAGGTCAGCCGTTCGAACCTGGCCCGAAACAAGCATGGTTACGTTGCCAGTTTCGAATATATTCAGTCTGCTTCCGTCTCTGATGCTTCTGATTCTTTATCTCCGGAAAATCCCGTTATCCACCAATTGTAGTGAGCTGATTATGGTTTGTCTTACAAGCGCAACTAAAGCCATGGATTTGGAGTCCATTACGGAGGCTTCAACACTTTTGGGTGAACTGGAAAGTAGATTATTGCAACTTGAACAAGTTGAACTCACTCGATCATGTCTGATCGAATGCCGACTAAAGCCGATCGGTAACTATACACCCCAAAACTGTCTGTTTCTTTCTATTCAAGTTTATGGGCTCAGAGCTCAGGAGGAAGATCAAATAGATCGGATTAACATCATGGTTCGTGGAACAACTGGTTACCCTGGTGAAGATCCTAGAAATTTGGTAAGAGTCAAGAAGGAGTCTCTCATATAACGAGTTTTACCGCATACAGATGCGCAGTCCATGCCCGTACTTCATTCCATTCTTCTCCTCATCGAAGCCCAATCATTCTCGTTTATATTCCGGAAAGAAGTCGAAGGTAGGTAGGTAGGTAGGTAGAATTACACGGCACGGTCCCGAAACTCAAGATGAAAATGTTAGTAAACCTAGACCGCCGACCCAGGATACTTCGTGATCTTCGCCTCCTCATTAGGGGACGCAGCATCCGGCAAACTATCATTCTGCGTCGTTCGCTCCAGCCTGATTTGCACCTCAGTCCGGCTGCGCGAGTCGGGCTTGTGGCTGGACTCGAATGTCTGGCTTCCGTCCCGAACTCGGCCCATTCGCAGGCTCGTTGTGGCGACGGTGCCTGTTGTCTCTCCATAGGAGGTTCCTCGGCTCACGCGAATGATAATATACGAGAACTGACAAAATTTCAGGCGCTAAACGAGGAGGTTTGCGCGAATACTCACGACAAGACCCTGGAATCAATTTTTGAGCGGGAATGAGCAGTAACGCATTTGAAAATGAACACGCACGATGGTCGGAGGCGTCTGCAGATTAGATGTAAGTTGACATCCAGACCGTGGTCAATGATGAAATACATACACAGTTGAAGAAGATGTAGTTGATGTATGTGTTCAAACGGTTGCTTATGAGGGATCCTATGAGCAGCAACGTGTATATCGCCGCTATAAAATCACTCGCCAGGTCAGTATATGTTTCAGACCTGGACACGGCACGTACCCGACTCAACAATGATTGAGACGATGCGGAGCGGCTCTGAGCGCCCGGAAAACGGGGAGACCAGCCCAGCCACTTTGTTGTGAAGGTAGAAGATGCGGAACGCGATGAGTCCTGTAAGCCACTCAGAAATTTCGCCAGCAAAATCCTCGCAGCAACGAACCAGTGCAGATCAGATTGGTGACCAGGGTAAGGGCGAGGAACGTGTTCATGGAGGTGATGACAATGTTCTGGAAAACGGACTGCTTCGTTGGATCGAATTGGGCGAGTGCGACAATGACCCAGATGGAACTCGCTGTTCGACAATATTGAATTTCTTCATTCTTGAAAAAAAAAGAGGTGGTACACAGACCGAAATCGGCCAGGCAGACAAGTGTTGGGATGATAATGACGAGCCAGTTATGGTTCCAGATAACGTAGGTGCGAAAGATCTGCAGATGGGGTCAAGAGCCGTAAGTCGTGTACCATGATTGCACTCACGATGAAGGCATCCCCAACGGTGGTTACGAAAAACCAGCAAGCGTTGGTGACGAGTCCGACCTTGGTGTTTGGCGGTCCGAAGTCGACCCCAGGTTGGTCTATGTTGTGTAGTCGAGGGCTATGCAGCAGAAATTAGGCAAAACCTACCGAAAGCAGCAATACAGCGGTAGGTATCAAGGACGCATCTCTGTATTGTACTTCAGTCAGCAACTATCGCCCAATCCCGATTTTAAATACAAACCGCTGTGATGAGAATGAACATAAGGAATGCCGTGACCATCAGGTATATGTGCTTTGCGTTGCGCGTCTGATGCTTCCTCTCGAACAGGATACAGGATTCAACCAAGACAGACAGGTAGACTCCTGAGAGTTATGTCAACAAATCGGTTATCAGTGGGTAGGCAGCCTTCATTGACCATAAATGATGTTTTCGAGGAAAACACTGGATTTACTGTTTTGAGGAATTGTCGGCTTTAGGGGAGGGGACGCACCCAATGTAGGATTCTCTCGTTCCAGGTACTGCCATGTCCACAAGGGAGGGGCACGCAAGGATACGAGAAATGGGAAGCGCAAGGACGCGCAGGAGGGAGGGAATGGGTGGAGTGTTACATGAAAAGCGACTTGATATAAGTAGAGTACAGCTTTTGGATCCGCGCGCCTGCACATCTTCCTGTTGTCTTCCCGCTCTGTTGGTGATGTTGTCCCTCAAGTTTGAATGCAAACTGTTTCCGCTGCATATCGAAACACTTACCAACGCTCCTTAGAAGCCATACGCCACAGATTATATGCATCCAGAGTCTCAGCGCGGTTTAGAAATCCTGAGCATGAAAACATCGGCCCCCGTTTCCGCGGGAAAATCAAGTGGAAGCGGCATTTGAACAGCGCGGCGAAGGCATAGCCCAGGGGTGTTCTATTATGACAGCTGCCGTAACAGAGGATCCACGGAAGGTGCTTCACGCCGGCACCGGGGCCACACGGCACGACGTGGGCACCCAAATTAGGCGCTCGAGCTGACCGGAAGGTTGCTCCACCCGCTACATACCTTGCACGAAAAAATGATCCTGGGAAGGTGGGCGGTATCCTTCCCAAGGACCTACCCTTCCGGAACCTGGTTCTCGGATGTATTGGCGTTTGCCTGCGATGTGAGCGATGTGGTGCCGAACGAAAGTGCCCGAAGCATTGCCAAGTCATTCCAACTTCTTGATGTCATTGTCGCTGTCGACAGCAGATCATCAACGAGAGCCCTGTCGCTGAGGGGCTTACTTGGAGAAGCGTGGCGACGCTGTGAAAGAACAGTCTTCACGACACCGGCCTGTACAAGTGAGTATTCCGAGATATCAGTTACGACGGTGGCTCAATGCCGTGGATCACAAGGACATTGTATTTATGAAAAGATATTCCGGGGAGCCATATCACCCACCCAATTACAGCCGCTTGTGGTGCAGTTTCATACGGTGCACTTCTCCCACTTTCTCCTTTCCGTGTACCTGAAGTCAGGGCACGAGATTAATCATTAATCATCGAGCAGCAAGTGCATTGTATTATCCCAGGCGACAACCCCTGCCGGACTGCCTTGTAAAATGACACGAATGGATGAATTCATTCATCACAAAAGACTGTATATCCTTGATTTGAGCAGGTGCCGCCCAGTCGTCGGACTACTCACCAAACGCCAACACAATTGCGAGCTGGAAATTACGGCCGCCTCTTACTATTTCTCGTTACCCCATCGGTCCTGTTCTTCTTTTTCCCCCGCTTTTCTGACTTCTTTCCGATGGGGGTCCTTTCGTGACGCGCTCCCAGACCGTAACTGACCGCGAAACGTCTTGGACGACTTTACATGTTATCTCCCACGTGATCGCGAATGATCCCAAGAAACACAGCCACACTACTTCGCTTTGCTTCCTGCCAGCACAACCTCCTGCCAGCCTCGCCCATATTTTGCTCTTCCGCCCTGCGACGTGCTCCTCGATTCTTCAAAAATCGGCGAAATGCTCTCAATATTGCATTAATGCTCTCATTCCATCCTCCAACTTCCCTTCGGAGTTGGCTGAGAGTGGGCAGCAGAAGAAGAGGAAAAGTGATCGGATTTATCTCTATCACCAATCCCGATGCTCCCCGACGAATCCCGACTGCTCCCGATGGCATTGAATGTTGAACGTGGACTGTTCTTCGAAGCTCCCGCACATGCGCTCAGGGATCTATATATAGAAAATACCGCTAGGGAGCTTTCCGGGATCCTCGGACCTTGACCGTCCGACCGTCTGGTCAACGCAGGTGCTGTTCGAACTCTCCTCTCAGATCGTCCTTCCCTCCCTTTCCGAGTGGGAAAGACACCTAAATCTTATCCTTACGGCCAGGAACTTCGCCCGAGGAACACGATGTTTCCTAGTGGGCACCGGTAAATTCTCATCCTATAAACGCAAAGCTCAGAGAAATCTCTACCGTAAATATCAATCTATGCCCCATGCCCGTACGCGTGTCTCCTCCGCTTTTTCGCTCTGCCTCATTCGCGCGATCTTATCCCTCTGGCGCACCGATATCACCATACCCAGGAAGAACGCGGCACCAACCAGCCCCATGACCTGATGTTATGTTGGGGGGGGGAAACAGACATTGTGTTGAAAGAACCGGATTTTAGGTTTTGGAAATTATGTTGTTGGAAAAATTGGAAGGCGAGGCGCATAGTTAGCAGAGAGTGTATATGCAGGTATGTGATATCACGCACCCCACTGAACAGCGCAGGCCGCCACCATGCGAAATCCGAAGTAAGAAGCGCCCCGTTTATTGGTGGGCCTGCGCAGAATCAATGGCTATTAGCAGCCCGAAAAGTGTGGACTCAGCTTACCGATGAGGCCGCCGACGCCTTCGATGGCGAAGGAAACGCCCATCCGCAGGCTTGATATGATAAATGAGTTGGTTCAGATTAGAGGTTTGTTGGAGATCATTGCCACTCACCCTAGCTCCGACAAATCCTCAGTCAAGAACGCGACGAGCGAGGGCATGAGCGTGATGACTGGTCGTTCGTCAGTCCATCAGTGAGATTCTCAACAAAGATT